CAGAGTCCATTACATGTGTATTCATAATCTCGAAATCTCAAACCTTTACTCACATTAAAGGTCAAACTGGTTAACACTGCATTTGGATTTAAAGTGAAAGGGAATTTATGTGGATGTTTTTTTTAGCTTCAATAGAAAAACTGGATAAAACAAACAAACAAAAAATATTGAACTAGAGCTCAATAAAGATGGCATAGATCAAAGCATTTTTAAGTGTCAAATGGCAAAACCAAAACCCAGACATAAAACCAACAGGAAAAACAACAATCTACTGCTCAAAGGTTCCCTTCATATAATCTGACTGAGCAAAAACAACTATGTAAGTCCCAATATCATAACGACACAACAATAGGCCCATAAGCAACATTATCTGGGTGGGCCCCATATGAAGTACAACACCACTGCTGCTGCTGTAGACAACCGACCCGAAATGTTCCCCATACATACTCACTTCATCATTCTTCACCTTCACTAGACATGGATATACTTTAGTATATTCTGCTGTAAAATGAGTCTTATCGGGCTACCTGGAGTTTCACAGCTCCCCTCCTCATCCACATTCTCTCCTTTCATCTCCTGGTCGTAATCTTTGCTCACTGTAGCAGCAATGTCCACCTCTCCCTCTTCGGTTCTTTGAAATAATATGTTTATTTTGGGAAGTTTTTTTCGGTTCTTCCAGCAGCTTTTCCTTTCTGGAAGTACCTCATTTTGGTATCCATCGTAGCTAACACATTGTACATAATGGTTATGGTTTTAATCTACGCTCTGGATTACCCATAATTCCAAATAATATTGTAAAAAATAAAATACTCAAAAACATAGTTGTTTCAAGATCTTTACTGCAGTTTAAAACATTTATATGAGTGTATTTTTTACCAACCGTCTAATGAACTATACACAGTTATTAAGATAGTAATTAAAATACCACTGTCTGCTTTGCTATTGTTGTCGTGTTTAAACGGCTCACCATCCTGTTGAAATATGTCATGTGTTGGGGTATAAATAAGGTCCAGTCAGTCAATCTAGTATCAGGTGGGTTTAAGAGGAATTTTTAGCACCATCACGTTTGCAAAGAGACACCCCAGTTCTCAGTTGCGTAGGGGGCCAACCAGGTGTCAGTGAAGGGGCACCTAAGAGGTTGGGGGCCCCTAAGACACTGCAGTCTCTACGCCACTGGTAAGTCCACAGAGCAGGTTGTGCTTTGCTGACATAATTAATACAATCTTACTTAGATTCATGAAAGGTTGCAGTCATGATAACAATAAGAATAGGTGAATTAAAAGTGTGCAGGGCAACCTACAGTGTTATCTATGTGTACTTTCTAAAATAACTGAATGTGTTTTAGGCTCGAAAACAACACAGCAATTTTCAGGAAATAAGAAATGAAAAATAAGGTGGAGTTAATGTTGTCTCTGGCAGCTGGACCATTACTGGACTGGACCATTACTAGCTGGTTTAGTCTGATCGATGGTTCTGGATCCAGCTGACTCTCACATGACATCTACACAGCAGCCCTGAAGCCGAGCTGGTGTAGTGATGTTACAAATGTGTCTTGTGGTTTACTACATCAATCACCAAAAAATGTTATGACAACATAGTTTTTGCAGCGAATAAAGTCTTTCTTGTCTTGTAAATAACACAGAAATTAGTTGATTAAAGATACTCCTGGTCTTGCCCGAACAAGTGGATCAACCAGCAGCACCGCGGCCACTTAAAGGCATTAAAACTGAGCTGAAAATAACGTTCTTACCTGACCATGGGTTGTGTAAACAGAGACAAAGGATATGGATGATAATTAGCTAAAGCTTTCGTTTACTCTTGCTCAGCGTCTTGTTTGGAAAGACGGATTTTCTGGACTTCCGCAATATGGTGTCACATGACCAGGTCAAACCGCTGTGGTGCCTTCACGGTGCCTCGTTTTATTTTTAAGCGTCGCTTTGGTCATCTGTCTTTGTCAACTCCTTTTTTAATTATTCGTTTAATTAAAGGTGAGTTTTTTTCTGCGCTGAGATTATAAATCAATTAAAATCCTCCTTTTCATCACAAAAAAGGTAAAGGGGAAGTGGTTGCCTAGTGCTTAGGGTATAGAGCTTGGAACCATAAGGTGCTGAGTTCGAGCCCCACTCCCACAGACTCCCACTCTGGGTCCCTGAGCAAGACCCTTAACCCCACACTGCTCTCAGGGCGCCACGCCATGGCATCCCACTGTTCCCCAAGGAGATGGGTTAAATGCAGAGATAAATTTCTCAAATGTAAGATCAATAAAGTTCAATTATTATATTATTATTAGTGTTGCGCCGATGCCATTTTTTGGCCCCGATACTGATACCCGATGTGCAGTATCAGCCGATACAATATCATACCAATATCATCTGTTTGAAATTGATGTGAGTGTATATACGAAGATAATGGCCATCATGGCTTTCTCAAGCTGCTGCCTACCTTTTTGAAGCAGGAAAAAAAAGACTAATAGGCCTACAAAGTGAATCCAGTAGAACTTTTTATTGTCTACCTGGAATGGGTGACAATAGATAAATAAACTTTTGGCTCTCAAAATGGTATCGGTTCCCTATTTGTCGGTACTCGCCGATACGATACCACCATTTTAGTGCTGGATCGATACTGGTTTCGTTATCTGTGCAACACTAATTACTATTACAAAACAAATGGATGTGGCAGCTCCAGAGGTTTTTCTCTGACAGTGCTAAACTTGGGATAAGCATTGAACTAAGGGTGCTATGAATTATCCTTTGTTCCTACATGTTTTTAATCTACACAACTGCAAACATAGACAGAGGTGTTCTCTCTAATTTTAAATCTGCAAAAGTTAACAATAAGGAGGATAATGAACATCTGATGAGTTTATAGTATATAAACTGTTATAATCAATTGACTGTTTTTTTTTTTATCTTTATTTTTTGCTCAGATCCGGGAAAACAAAATATGGCAAATCCATTGTGAACTCACTATTAACATCTGATTAACTAGATCTAAGGTTATTAATATATAAATTAATGATAAATATACAGTTACCTGTTGTTATTAGTTAAATTACATGCTCAACATTATTTGTAACTGTTTTCCTTTTATTGTGTAGAAACTAAGAAAAATGTTGTATAGGTCTATGTGATAGTAGGGGAAAAAACAAAATAGAGCCACATTAAAGTAGAAGTAATTGGTCGAAATTATCAGGTATAAAAGCACAAAAATTACTAATTTGGGACATGTATGAAAGTTCTTTGGTTGCACTAGATGATTGTTCCCCCTACAGGATATGTTTAAGTCAAATAGACAAGTAGAAAGTTTGTGAATATTGTGATAGTGAACTGCAAATCATATGAAATAATGCCAAAAATGGAAGAAAATAAATACAAATCAGTTAATTTTAGGACTTTTACAAAACAGAGTTGGATGTTGTACACGATGATATTTTGACACTAAATAATTGAAAAACAACAACAACAAAAAAGACCAAATAAGTATATTTTCTTAAAAATCCCTAGCAAGAGCATCTATAAAAACGTCACTACTGGGTTGGTATATTTTTATGCATTTAATTTTTTTTTTTTTTTTTTGAAATACAGGTGCAACTAATTTCTAAATGTAACTGGTTGAGCTTTTGAGGAAAATATCACAATCACATGTTCAAAAATATTAACTTTCATGAAGAGTTTACTTTTCCTGTGGTGCTATGGGGGTACCACAAGCGAGTGTGGTCGGACAATGAAAAGACTATGCGTTTGACTTATCTGTAAAGCACATTTTTAAGTGCTTTTGTTCAAGTTCCAAAATCTTTATTGCCTCCTTGGGTAACTGCCAATAGCTGACAAAGCAATGTAATAAAATAACAAATGGACCGTAATTACACTGGAATAATACCATAAGAACAAATCAATATTTTATTCAATAAGTCCTGAATCTTGGTAGCATGGATGTGTCTGGTTGGAATCAGCTTAAATTCATCAGGCAGTAAAGGGGGGTGTATCTGCAAGACCAGTTTCCACTTTTAAATTGCACATTAGTGAGGTCACTTAAGTATGAAAGCAATAATTCTACTGCACACACTGAAAGGTCCAAAGAGTTAGTTGCAGTTTTTGCAAGACCAGAAGTAAATAAAGTTAAAGTAGATAAAAGTAATGTAAAATTAACGCTCATGAACATTCTTACAGAGTATGTCCACAAATAGCAACATGCAGATGTCAGTTATTATTATTATTGTTAAAATTATTATTGTTAAGATTATTATTATCAATATTTTTGATAACTTGACTTCTTGCACCTACAGGGTGCGTCCTTGCTCTGGCTAGTTCTCGTGTATTCGTGCGTAATGACGCATCCGCCTCCCAGCGCCACCCCTCCCTCCTGTCACATCTGGATCTAGCCTCTCTCATCAGCACCACTCAGCGCAGTGGGAGCGAGTCGGAGTGAGGGAGGGAGGGAAACTACCGGAGGAGACTTGCTCGGTTGGTTCAGCCTCATTTACAACCGATCAGAACCAACAGAAGAGCGAACGGACATTCACCTTTCCATTCGCACACGATAAGATCCCCATCTCCTCCGTCCCCCATCTGCAAATCGGGCTTCTCTTTTTTTCCCCTTTCTCTCTTCCTTCTATTTATCTCGGATATTATGGGCTCCAGTTTGCTAGAAAACCCGGTGCAGGCGATTCTGTACCTTCGGGAGCTCACCACGATCGTGCAGAACCAGCAGAGTCTCATTCAGACCCAGCGCGCGCGGATAGAGGAGCTGGACAGGCGCGTGGACGAGCTCATCGGGGAGAACAGGCACCTGCGGGACGTCAGGGTGCAACAGCAGCTCCCTTACTTGCACCATCACTCCTATCATACTCTACCGGACCCCAGCTGCCTTCATCATCATCACCACCCGCAGGACCCGCAGATCAAGACCACATCGGGGTCTCTGTCAGAACATGCCGCAACACCAGCGCAGGTCGAGGCGGCTCCGAGCGTCCAGCCCTCGCCTGCCCAGACCTCGGACCCGGGCGACATGCAATTAGTCCCAGCGGACCCTTCTACAATTTCCCCCATTGAGAGTGAGTCTGAAAACGGTGGAAGTTGCCCCAGTTGTAGATCTTTGGTTCCGATGACCCCAACAACTCTTTGTCGATCCCTGACCCTGGCGAGAAAATCCGAGTAAGTAAACAATAATTGTTTGCTTTTACCTCATCTGTTTCTGCAATAATCAGGAATCCAGAAACAGGCCCAAATGCATTTTTTTTTTTGCACTTTAAACATCCTGCTGTCTTTAGTTTTCTAAAATCGTATGTTCTGTTTAGAATAGTGTTTAGAATAGTGTGTGCAGCATATTGTGCAATCAGGGCGCGTGCATGCACACCAGATTGAGATTGGCTTAATTAACAAAGGTGTCCGTGTCTCCGGCGGTGTGTCGGTCAAGGACTGCACCACCAAGAGGAAAGATGTGGATTATTTAAATCAGAAACTGGATCACGATCACAGAATCATTACATAACAAACAGCTGTAGGCCTTAATGTGCGCTCGCGTGCACTTCAGGCCGTGCTAGTGTGCACGTGTGTGTGAGTGTGTGTGCACTATACAGAGGCTGCTGTCAGTATGAGACAGGAGCGTGGGGTGATGAGGCACCTCGACTGTCCACGGTGCTGCTTCTGCCTCTCTGTTAATTACAGCACGGGATCTGGGAACTCTCACGGGATCTTGGGAGGTCTCTGATGTTGCTGAGAAACATGTGGGCATTGCAATACACACGCACATACAATCCCATCCTGCTTTGGCACCAGAGCTCCAGAGAGCATCAACACATCATATTATGAGATAAAACCAGTGGATCCCCCCCCCCCCCCCATGCATGTTCATCTGTACTGCTGGTATCCTAGCACTGGCTCTGATTGGTCTCTGTGGAATACCACCCCCACTGAAAGAAACCATGTGAAATCAGATCAGGGTCATATGTGAGGGGACAAACTTTAAAAATAATTTGCAAGTCTCATGTATGATTTTCCCCTCTAATTGCTCATATACACTGATCTATCTAGACTTGCACATCTTTGGCAGTGATTTTCAGAGATGCATTAAGAACTCCATCATGGACAAAAAAAGAGACACTAAGAGACATTATTTGGTTCTACTGATAGAGGTGTTTAGTAGTAACCAAGCAGAACCAACATAAAAAAATGAGCAATCTTTTACTCCATCTAAATTATGTTTGAATATGTGATATGATTTTTAAAAAAATCATATCACATGTGGCATTGGCTGCATAGTAACGTAGTGGGTAGCATTGCTGCCTTGCAGCAAGAAGGTTCCGGGTTTGATTCCTGGCCCGGGGTCTTCCTGCATGGAGTTTGCATGTTCTCTCGCTGCATGCATAGGTTCTCCCAGGGTATTCCTGCTTCCTCCCACAGTCCAAAAACTGTTAGGTTAATTGGCTTCTCAAAATTCTCCTTAATGTGAGTGAATGTTTGTTTGTCTCTGTGTTGCCCTGCGATAGAGTGGCGACCCATCCAGGGTGTAACCAGCCTCTCGCCAGCATCCCTCGCAACCCCAGCAGTTATAAGCATTATGGAAAATGGATGGATGGGTGGACATGTGGCATGATTAATAGCTCCCCTGTTACCTTGCACTACTCTGTATATTCATCTTTCATTTGATGCCAGAGCCCCCGTGATGGGCAGCTTAAAAAAACAACCAAACAAAAAAAACGCAGAATTTATAAAAGCATACAGTTCCAACTGAAGTTGCTGAAAGAATTTGGCAACCTTTATAAATTTACGTTTCTGATGTAGGAATAAAACACTCTCTACTGCAGCTCTCAGTAACTTCATTTTACTTTTACTTCCTTCACCATTTCACTGTATATGGCGGCACATTTTGCTTCTTGTGTTGGTAAGTCGGTATCTTGATTCTCAAACAGCCAAAAAGCGGCTTAAAGAAGCAAACCTCTGTGTCAAATCCTTTTTATACCACATGAAAACAGAAAGTTAGTGAGTTAGTAACTCACTCTAATAATTTTATCAATAGTATAATAATTGGTCATTTTAAATAGGGCTGAACCAAATTCAGTTCCTCTGCAATTTGAAAATTGGATTTTGTTAAATTGCGATTTTATTGCAAATGCAATTAATTGCCCAGCTGTAATTTCAAACATTGGATTTTCATCTTAAATGACTACATACAGTGTTACAAAGTCTCCCCTGGCGTCATACTGTGGGTCCAAAGTTCAAAGGTTTGGGTTACTAATGTTAATTCTGCTAAAACTCTTCTACTAGCCAGTGCAGCTCTCTTATACTGGAAGTTATCCAGGGCGATATTAGAGAGGGACGCACTCCTAACCGATTATATAATAAACAGAAAGCTGTTTTCTGAAAAGGGGTTCATTGCTCTTTTTGGTATTGTCAACTTTATTTAGAAAGACACTGCACCTATCAAACATAAATGTAGATACATTAAACCATCAAACCATGCATCGAAAATGAGTGTGCTTTCTATAGGCCTGTATCTATCCCCACAGCCCCCAGTATCACAGGTAATTGCCTGCATTTTAATTGGTTCTTGGTGGAGAATCTGCAGTCTGTGGCAGTTCTTGCTTCACTGGTACTGAAGACAGGAACAATAGCCAAGACTGAATTTAATGCCACACTACTCACTCAATAAATCATAGTCATTTTGCATCACAGTAATTACTCTACATCTCGTGTTATCATTGTTCCTCTGCACAGACCATCAGGAAAGGGGTAAAGGATAGGGGCTGGTGGGGTACCTCTCACCTTCTTGCTCTTGCCAGCTGCGTCCTGCCTGCAGATGACTGTTGATCAATCAGGTTTACTTGCTGTTATTCCTGTTTTCAGTTTGTCACAGTATGTTACTCTTGCAATTCAGTGAGCTTTCGTACATAACCCAATGTTGAAGCATGCTTCAGACATCTTAGTACATCTATTTATTTGATATTTTCTGCGTATATAGATTTCTAGAGTTTTTAGCATTACAAAGAACTGAGATGCAGAGAGGTGGTGAGTGGTGTTCAGGCTTGGCGGTGAGCCTGCTTTGTATCAGCGTTGTCAGCGCCCGTGAATGTGAGGAAGGGAGAGGAGATGGTCTCCTCCGCTCGGTCTCCGACTTTCTCTCTCTCTGTCTCTTTCCAGCTGAGCCTTTCTATCTGCCCCACTTAGCCCATGGAGCGAACAGTAATCAGCCATTCTCAGGAGGGAAAGAGGCAGAGAGATTGAAAGAGAAAGAGAGAAAGAGAGATGCACGCTCAGCCGTTGTCTTTGATGGATCCCTTGGAGGTGTCTACAAGAGGAAGCTTGAGGCCGATGCCGGGGTGGACCAATGAGAGAAAGCAACAGAAAAAAAGAGATAGAAGTATAAAAGCAAGAATGGGGGTGGGGTGGTGGCGTTTGTGGAGGTGGGCACTCAATACACTGGAAGTGAGACAGGTACCAGGGGAGACTAAACCACAGGGAAGTGAAATTTTTTAAATAAGGGTGCATTTGGGGTGGCTGTCTGTTCTGGCTTCAATGCCTACAAACAAGCAGTGTGGGCACTGTAGGTTATGGCAGCCTGTGGCACAGTGAAAAGGGCACACAACCTTTTGTTCAGTCCAAATACAGCTAGTCTTTTTGAAACATTACTCTTTTTCTTTGGCTTCCCCTGTTCTTTCTCCTTGACCCTGGCCGGTAAAAGCATTGTGATCTCAGCTCAGCAACAAAACAGCAGAGGAAAGTGGTTACACAGAGAGGATGGGGCTCTGAGAGTGAGAGGACAAGGCACAACGGCCCAGTGCATGTAGTGTTAAAATATTCACCTGTTCTCTTAGCAAGTGTTTGACATAAATGTGCAAATTGTAAGAGTGTGTGTTTATTATGCAGATGGATGGAACGAGAGGAAGTGTTTGTTTGGTTTGAAGTCTATGGAAAAAGTTTTCATGCTGTTGGTGAACAGGAGCTGACCCTTTGGAGTTTAGTTTACTTTATTCTCCCTTCAATGTCTTCAGAAAAGGTTGAGCTTTAGTTTGCTGCGACTTTGTTGAAAAGACAGATGTAACGACCTCAGAGGTTGGGTAACGGACCATTGGAGGTAAAACAGCATCATAGATAGAGTTGTGGATAGGGATGGGAATCGAAAACCGGTTCCTGTAGCAGCTCGCTTATCTATTCTGTTATCGAATCCAGGCAGCACCAGAGCAGCACGACTTGCGTCACGTTTTTTATGCAAGTTACGCACACGGCATTCAGTAAGCAAGTACGACTTAACCAGGCGTAAGTCTAGAAAAGAAAAACAAAAAACAATTGCATCCCGTCGGTTAAACCGATCGAAAGTTTGGCTTCATTTTAATAGGGTGACCAGACGTCCTCTTTTTCCCGAACCTGTCCTACTTTTCAGACCTAAAAAAATGTCCATGGGGAATTTCAAAATTGTCTGGGATTTTGGTCGACTACAGTGCACCACGTAGTCGAAAGAGGGAACTGGGGCGGGGGACGGAGCGAGGGGGATGGAGCGACAGACCCGGTAACGGTAGCCTGGACAACGGCAGCCCCATGCTTCCCCCCACCTGCCTTACCGGTCCCCAGCCCCGCTCCTTCGGCTGAGGACGGGCAGCTCATGGCTCTCTGCTGAGGTCCAGTTCAGTCAGCGGACCAGCAGTCGACAAAAAATGTGTCCTTCTTTTTACTTTAACTTGAGTAAAAATCTGATGATGTGATGCTACTTTTACTTTAGTAAAATTCTTGGGTACTCTACCCACCTCTGCCCAAGTCTTTGTAGCCCTGTTGAAGAAGATGAATCGTCATGGGAGTGGGAAGCCAATGATCCACTGAAAAATGTTGGCGAGCCACTGTCATTGTTTCTTCTTGAATGCAGTGCAGCTGGCATACCAATTTCTACATTTATACTTTAGAAGTCAGGGCCCTCTCAGTTCTCAGGTGGAAATGACCCTGCTTGATATTTTCTAATAGCTTGGGGGAATCTTTTTGATGACATTCAGTCCAAAATCCTGTGTACTGTCATCCTATTCCCTGTTTAGAAAGTCATTGATTGTTTATTTTGTTGTTTTGGTGTTGAGCTTGAGGTGACTGTCACTGCACCAGGACAATCATATGATAAGGCTTGATACTACATGGTATAGAAATGCAGCATACATTGTCCTAGTTAACGGCTG